ATTTGTCGATATCAAAGTTACTCAGCTGGAGTGTTCGTCATGTAGAGAATACTGTGCAAAATTATAGTTATCCTCAAGGTATCACAACATAGAACATGAAAAAAATAGTAAGTACTGCACAAACTGCATCTTTTGTAGATGTAATGACCTGACGGCTTCAGGAATACTGAAATGTTGCAGTAAATATACTTTTAAAGTTAAATGAATGTCTAGGTTTCCTTCTGGATATATTATAAAAGTTTTTCTAGAATTTGTACAAGGTATCTCATTTAACTTCATTTAACTATGGGATGAACCGTTTTCAGTAGAAACTGATGAAAGGATCATGTGTAGTATGCTGTTTCAGCGGGCTATGTGAGTCGAAAAACAAAACATGAGTTAAGTAAGACAGTTATGAGGAAGCATGCCTTAGGAGTTCATAACAGCAGCCGAGTCATTTGCAGCAACATGAACCGATTTCTTCAACTGATATACTTTTGAAATTCTTTCAAAATTCGAAGATTATTTTTACGAATCAGTCGTCATTATGAGAAAACACAAATAAGTAAGCAGCTTTTAATGCTTAATTAAAAAGGCTTACAGCCCTGATGCCACTCTTGAAATAAAATTCCGCGTATTTTAAACTTTACTTTTCTATATTCGAAATGCTCGGTGTTTCTTTATTTTTCAAACTGCATGTGCGAAATCCATTCATATTTGTACGAGGTGTTTCGCCTATATTTTTAATACTGCATTTAAAATTTTTATCCTGACCATTTTAAATATAATTTCTTTAAAACGGCAGTATAATACGGTATAGCAAAATGTTTTTCGGTGTGCATTAGGGCTTATTCGGAAGATCACATTTAAAACCACTAAGAACATCATAACATGTATTTGCCACAAATATTTAGAAAGAAAATCATGTGCAAGTTCCGAAACTCATGAAATATTTCTAGAACAATGCTCATTATAATGTAGCCCAAATGCTGTGCATATTACGTCATCAAAATAAAAAAGACAAAAATCTAATTTTATTTGAAATACTTGCAATGACTTCAGTAATGCATGTGAGCTGAACTGTTGCAAATAGACGGGGATAAAAATTTTATAATTTCTATAGTTATGCATACCTCACAGTGGAAAATTAAATACAGTCAAACTTTAAAAGTAGTTATTTTACTCAGCAAATGCTTTAAGACGAACAAACGTACAGAAAATTTAAAAGTTTTCAGCAACTAATTTTATGAACGTATATTTCACTTCTCGCAGATTTGGGTACAGAAGACATTCTTGTCTGTTTCTCCCAGCGAGAAAATTTATCCAAATCCTTAAGTCATCGATCCTCAAATTCCATAATGGCGTTCCTTGGAATTAACTAACGTTCTGTACGCCACAATATGAACGAAAGGTCTCATTTAATCTTAACAAGGAATGAGGCTGCTTAAACTATGCCTCTCTATCCACTTCGTAATCGAATATTTCGAATTTTAACCCCACCAACACTGCTGAAATAAATCAAGAGGGCGATCATTCAGAGTGAATGTAAATTGGGGTCGTGAATCGTTTGGAACCATTAAATACGAAACACAGACTGGAATGAAAGACGGTGGCAAAATTGATTATATAACAATGGTGCATTGGAAACAGTGCCTTCTCTTTGGTCACTGATGTATATAAGAAATGCTTAGAGCAGTGGTCTTAAACTGAAGATTCGTGAGCTGCGCGCGACTTTCGGTGAAATTTTGTGCGGCTCGCGAAGACATTTCAATTCTGGTGTTGCAAAGATTTCAAAATTTTAATTATTTGAAGTCACAGTTTATACTATTTCCATTTCTATTGAACATGAATAAAGCACCAGAAAATCTATAAATGGAACTACTTAATTTACAGTGTGAGATAAATGTTATTCAAAGAAGATGCAGATTAAGTTTTATTCGTCCTTGTCAAAAATAAATAATCTCAGTTATGAATTTTCGCATTAAGAATAATCAATTTGTTTGAGAATGCATTGATATGAGAACAGCTTAAATTAAAAATTAATACGAAAAGAACCTGATTGACCGATGAGCATATACAATCTGTGAAGATAATTTCTCTCCAATGATACACACTTTATCAGAATCGATACGCTATTAAGTATCAAGCTTTATAAGAAATAAAGAAATTTGTAATTATTCATATATAATTACATATATTTTTCTTTATGTTCCAAAGAAAAACTTCATAAGAGAAAGATACTAGGTTGTCATTATTTATTCTCATGTTTTATCCAGCTTCGTAAATTTTCTATGAAAACTGAAACTTTCGCTAAGTGTTAATTTTTAATTTAAATTAAAATAAGTTTATTTAATGATTAATTAAACACGTAGGAATAATTTCAAAGAAATATCAGTCGAAATATTTAATATTTAGCTTTCAATGTATTTTAATGATAAAGATTGTTATTATGTTAAAGTTATTTATTATTATAAAGTGTAGCCAACATAAATGGCTTACATGTACCAAATAGAAAATAAATATAAATTTGAAAGAATTTTTTATTATGCAATATTATTATTATTCTTTACGTATGTTTTGATAAATTTTTAGTAAGCTTAATAAATAGTTAAAATTTATTTTAAATATTTTTTTATTTTGTTTAAAAAAATAATTTTGTCGCATCAGTTCTTTTCAGATACTACATGCAGCTCGCTTGCAATTTGAATTTGAGACCAATGGCTTACAGTTCCTTATACCAAAAAAAGCTGCTGCATTCTTTAGTGATTCATTACTGGATAATTGCTCAAACACGTTCTTCAGTTATCAGTGAACATGTAACGTTGTATGCTCTAACCAACTTCCCGTCCTACGAAACTCAAGTATTTGCTTCTTATTCAAGTACTTACTTCTTACTGAAGATAAATTGGCTTTAGAGAAGAAAAACTGGCCTCAGAAATATTTCTTTCCCCCTTTCACCAGCATTCAAGTCTTACAATTTAGAAAACTATTTACTTGTCTCTACTGCTTCAGAAAAATTTCGCTTGCATTTTTTAGTCTTTTATCTAAAAATTAACAAAGACAATGCTCAAAAAAAAATAATAACGCTTTGAAATGAGAAGTAGATTCATTGCGATACCAGCTGAAGTGAACCTGGAAATGCATTCCTTTTTCTGTCTTTATAAGTGAATTCAGCTTCGTACGATTCTGACACTACCCCACTGTGGAGACAGCTTGATCAATTCAGCCATCTGTTCACTTTCGCTGCATTCTAGCGGGTAGGAAAACACGAAACAAGTGTCTCTCGGAGGTCACATGTAACTCCAACGAGTTTGTGATGCCTTACGATAATTTTCAAATCGAGGAATCTCTGTCAGGGGAAACAGGGAAATGGTTAATAAATAGACGGTCACCGTTTATATCAATTCAATATGCTTGCTTTACTTAATTATCTCACATGAAAGATTAAAGTTATGATGAGATATCAAAAGTTTGATTGAATAGCCTTTTTGCTAAATTTTCCTTCCGCCATGTCATCTGCAGATGAATGTCTTTTCTCCAGTTCCCACACTATCCTCCTAATCTCAGCCCCTCCGTGCAGATGGGGAAATACATATATCGCTTAATTTTTATGCAATTATGATTAAAAATAAATTTAATGAACTTAAAAAAAATGTTTTATCTCCTCCTACAATGTTTTTTAGAAAGCTTGTATTATTAAAAATTTATTGTTAAGTGTCACACAGATGATTAATTTGGACCGTGATACGTAATATCTGGTTTTAACGACAGTTTCCTGCCACCGCAAATATTGTCTGCGCAAACAATTCCTTTTGGCGTCTTTAATCATATTTTGTCAAACCATTTCTGGCATTTGAAAGAAAGAGACTTGCTTTAGAACACTGTGTTGTGAAATTTGTAAAAAAATATCTTTATCATTAGATATACATTATCTCAAATGGAACTATCACGCTACCAGATTAGAACCATCATTTACTTCCAGTTCTGTTGAAAAATGTCAGCTTCAGAATATCACCAAATATTATGTACAGCTTTAGGTACTAATGCTGTATCACATGTCACTGTGAAGGTTTAGTACCGAAAGTTCAAAAACAGCGACTATGACATTCAAAAAGCAGAGCGCTGTGACCGGCCTACTGATGTTGATGAAGCCCACCTGCGATAAATTGTAGAAGAAGATCAGTATGCAACCACTCGAGAGCTTGCTAAAGAGTTAGACGTTAGTACCATGTCTATTAGTCACGCTATTCACCGCATAAACTTGACGTAGAAGTTCAGTCGCTGGGTTCGGTCACCGGTAAGCCCGTCGGCCGCGTCGCAAAGCACAATTTGACCAACAAAACGATCATGCTTTGTATCTGATCGGATTGCCATGACATTATCTACTAAGAGTATCTGGAAAAAGGTAAACCCTTGACAATAAGGTGTACAGCGAGATACTAGTTCGAGTTGACGCTGCTATTTAGGGAAAACGTCGAACTGAGTTCCGGCGTAAAAAGGTAAGTTTCCATCAAGATAATGCAAGACCAAATGTGTCTGCATTCACCGGCTAAACTGTGTATGGATTCGAATGGGATCTTTTGCAACACCAATCATATAGCCCAACATCCCTCTTCGGATTCTACCTTTTTCACACCTCCAGCTACATCTTGCAGGTACCTGTCATCCATCCTGCACAGGCCATCCGAAATTAGGTTGATCTGTTTTCGGACTCGGGGCCACCATGTTTCTGGGCTGAAGGCTTTGAAAAACTACCAAATGGCTGGCAGGGAATCACTGGATGATTATTACTATCCGCACTGAAAGTACTGCTTTCATGCTTTTTTTTCTAACTCTATTAAGAAGGTTTTTGGTGGAAAATTTTCTTTACAACCATATATATGCCGTTATAAACATCTTTTAATCTTTATTAATTAAAATGATTTGTATTAACTAAAAAATATCACAAATATTCTAGATGGAAAAAATTACAAATGATGCCTAATTTTATTTCTAAATTCTAACTATATTTTCTTTTGCAGAAATAACTGAAATCATTCGTCAACTGATGGAAACAAACCTGATGAAAACACTGAAGGGTGGCATTCCAAGTTAAATAAAGAAAGCTGTCGGGCTCCATGCAAACGTATGTTTATAGATTCAACTCCTAAAGCAAGACTAATCAGAAACTAAATTCATTATGTTGATTATGTTCATTATGTTGCGACAATAAACCACGAAGGTCCCAGTTAAAATATAAAGTTAAATTAAAACTTTTAAAAGAAATACTGAGAAATCATTAAGCAGCGAAATTTTATTAAACAATTACATCGATGTTGGGAGCTACTACATTCATTCAGAAGCCTAGATTCTGAAATGTTAAATAAAGACTGATAAACACTATGCTATGTTGATGGGCTGGAAGCCATGATGATCATCACGACACCTCTCCAGACGTCTCTGTCAATGTTGTGGGGTTAAAAGCAGACGTCTTAGAGGCTGCTTTGAGCGCAGTCAAGCACATGAGATAGTGGAAGGTGCCACGGGTGCTATGGAAGAGGAAGTAGCACGTTGGACAGCGAACAAGGATGCCGTTGAGGCAGTTCGAGCCTGCAGCACAGTCATCCAAGCTTGTCTTCCATTCAAGCGATTTCGGCTTCCAGAGCCTTGATTCCACCGCTGTGTGCTTTGCAGCAACCTTTGTCGCCAGCCATCGCTAGGTAAGGTGGGGCTGTGTTAGTATATCACCCATCCGCATCAATGCGCCACCCCCCGGGTGACTAAGATTCTGCGAATTACTGAGGATCTTACCTAGCATCGGCCAGGGGGGAGGTAGGTAGGGGGAGCACGGGCACTGTCCCTTTACCATAATGGTTAATCGGTATTGCACCGTGCCCACCACTGTCTAGAGCCAATGTGTAGGAGCCACATTTGCGCCCAGCACCAAAAGCCGAGGCCCAACGCTCGGACCATCCAGAGGGCAGTCAAACTGACCAAAAGCGCCCTCCACACAACGCTCACCCAACCGTCCAGGCATTAGTACATATGATAGCAAATACTGAGATTCTCTGACGATTATAATACAATGTGCAATTGGTATATAATGAAATTGCAATTATAAATATACTGCATAATACAAGTCCAATAGTACAATATCAATGTAAAAAGTAAGATATAATTACAAATGCAAATATTTCGTGAACCATAAGTGCAAAATAATAGTAAGTTAAAGGACTACTGCTTCAAATATTAGTACATATGATAACATACTGAAATTCTCTGACAATTATAATACAATGATCAATTGGTACATAATGAGATTGTAAATATAAATAGACTGTATAATACAATACAAGTCCAACAGTACAATATAATGCAAACACGAGTATGTAATTACAAATGTTAATATTTCATGAACCATCAGTGCAAAACAATACTAAGTTAAAGGACTATGCATATCAATGCAAAACGTAAAGTTAAAGAGTAGTAGTATACAATGTTAGATATAGATATACTATACAAAAGAAAGTCATATTCGTACAACAGAATGGTATTGCAATTTAAATACCAACAGTATTAAAATATAATTATAATAATAAACTCAAATAAAAATCCGAACATATGACCAATACAAAAGCAAAATGTTATTCTTAAAATATCTATGCAATGCATATTCAAATACAGTCAGTAGATATATACTGATATAATTATAAATGCATAACAAGTTAAAGACATATCGAGAAAACAACCCAATACAATCGATAAGATCTAAACAATACAAATTCAAATACTAAAATAATCCAGATATTAATAGAAAAGTAAATGCATATATCAAATGGTACTTCTAACAAAGATAAATATATATATATATATATGTAAACATTCTTATTGAACAAAATTCAACGAAGATTCAATGAGACAAATCCCAATCCAAGCATGTGATAAGTTGACATATGGGAATAGTAGATTAACACTAACATGTATGCGTACAATATAATAAAATTGTAAATTATGTTACCAAGCACAAGTCAGTACCATAGGAATGAAGTATTTCCATAATTTTGATCAGTTTTTTAACTAAGTATTTTTGTTTAATTAAAAACTTACAAAATGCACGAGTGTTAGTATTTGGTATGGGAATGTGATAATCTTGTGTAATAGGACACTGAGTCACATAATGTTCAGGATTTCCAAGTTCACCACATACACACATATCAGTATTTGAAATCCCATGTCGATAATAGTAAACTGGATAGGGTCCATGCCCTGTAATATAACGTACCAAATGATGATGATTGGTAACCTGTCTATGTATATCAACATATGAAATATGAAAATAAGTACGACGACCTGTGTCGGAGTCATCCCAGTTTGTTTGCCACGCAGAAATAGTCTTGAGTAAAATTTCCTTTTTAAAATACGAAATTGGCCGTTTTACCATTAGGTTTTCAATTTCACCAATATGATCAATACTTTTTTGGGCAGCTATTTTTGCAAAGAAGTCTGCTTGGATATTGCCAATGTTATCTGCATGACCTTTTGTCCAGGCCATCAGTATTTTAGAATTTCCGGACATGAGCAATTCCTGCTGAATGGCAGAGATAATAGGCGAAGAATGCCTTGGATTTTTAATTGCAAAAAGAGATGAAAGGCTATCCGTTATTATTATACCTTCCATCTCGCCGGTTTGTTTAAGATATTGAACAGCTTTAAGAATAGCCATCGCTTCTGCTTGAAAAACGCTGTTTTCAGCAGTAAGATGTCCTAACCATTTAAATATTTGGTCTTCATTGTGATAAGCCACAAGGGCACAACCAGTTTGTTGCTCAATTTTCGAACCATCAGTGAATATCTGTAAGTGAGGTAGTTGTGGCAAATTGTCACATTTCAAAAAGACATTGAGTCCATATCCTTGTTGAGCAGGATGATTATCCAAATGCTGTGTTTGCTTTTCATAGTTGGTTGGAAGAAAATATGTCATCATGAAAATTTACAGATTGCTGCAATTGGCGAACTGTTTGATAAGCTGCCTCCTGTAGAGTGCGTAGAGGCAATGGAATAATGCCTGCAAGCACAGTCAAGGCATTAGAAGAAGTTGTACAAAAAAGCGCGGGTAATCTGTAATACAAAGGGTCGTTGTAAGCTTTGCAATAGTCTGTGCCTTACTGACCCTGCATAATTTGGGTCGTGTCCCAGACTGACAATTTGACTGCATTATGATAACCATCATTCTTCAGATTACAGTTAATGATATAATATTTTTGATTATGTAACAGAAGACTAATACCCCAATTGTGATCCATACATACGGCGAAGATTAAGTTTGCAATGATATGTTGTTCTTCTTTTTCAATTCCATGCAGATGCAAAATCCAATTTAATTTTTCCATCAAATAACATAATCAATTCCACCCTGTAGGAAATTTCTAAGATTTCTTGTTAGAACTGAAAGAATCTGTGGAAGGATCATCAGATGGAAACACGGTGGTTAAAATTGATTCTATTGTGTCTTGTGTTGGGTGCTCAGTCGAAGTAGAAGATGCTATTAGATGAGTTTGCGAAGGTTGAAAAATTTTTGTCCTTGCAATTTTGTAAGGAAGTCCATATGGATCATGATTTTGAGTGCAATATTGCTTCCATGCTGTTAATTTAGATTGAATAATCATGCGTTTATAAATTGCTTTTTCTGTTTGATAATGTTGCAAAGTATTTGAGGTGATACCATTTCGACGGTCAGATTTTAATTTTCTTCTAAGCGCTCGACATTTCTGTTGTTGAGTTCTTAATTCACCGTTCCACCAATGGAGAGCTGAAAGTTTTTTATTTGTTTTCCTTGGAAGAAGATCTTGACAAATATCTTGGATTGTAGTTAAAACCAAGTCCGTAAATTGTTCCAAGGCAGCTGGAGTTGTTTGCAAAGATAGTTGTCTTCTCAGTTGGTTCAATTTTCCTCTAATTTTTCTCGTAAATTGACGATATTTACGACCTGGGAGATTATATCTAATGAGAATAGGAACTGAGCCATTGTTGGTTATTTCAAACGTAATGAATTTATGGTCCGATAAACTTATTTCATCATGAATAGTCCAGTTATGAACCAAATGTGCAGTATTTGCTTTAGTAAAAGTTAAGTCAGGCCATCCAATAGCATATGTTCTATCAAAGGTAGGCGCAGAGTCTGGTGAGTTAAAAAGCACATAATTTTTTGAAGATATAAAATCCTCCAATAGGCGACCTTTAGGATCAGTTGTTGTATAACCCCATGCTATTGAATGGGCATTAAAGTCCCCACTGATGATTTGGTGTTTATTACCAATAATGCGAAGATTCTCTTCTAAAAAGGCAATAACTGGGGTAATGTCATCCGTAGGAGGAGAATAAATTGAATAAATAACAACTATTAAATTTCGAATTTCTAAAACTACAGCAACTTGATCTCTATTAATTGATAAAATTGAGGGAGAAGATTTGTGTATTACAGTTAATAATGGCTGCACGTGGAGGTGCTAAAGTGTCTGCCTTGGAGAAAGTTGTCCAAAGAAGAGGAAAACCAGCAACTTGACCGTCTCTAGTATACGGCTCCTGGGCCAATATGAGATCAATGTGATTTCTTAATGCAAATTCTATTGTCTGTGCTGTAGCTGCCCGAGATCTCTGCATGTTTATTTGTAAGCATCTAAATGATTGCAAAGCACTCTGTGATACATGAATCGCACCTTTAGACATATGTGGTATTCTGGCGCATTCGTTCGACTTGTTTCTGATAGCAAAAGCATGCGTTGGAGTTGGCGGTATGATCAACTGGGACTGGGTTTCTGGAATTCTTGTTTGCGTCGAGACAATTGATGCAGGCTGCAAAATCCGAGGAACAGTCTCGGGAGTCATGTTCACCGGCACAGTACGTGCAGTAGAAGTTGCTGCGACATTCCCGCTGCAAATGTCCAAATCGCTGACATTTATAACATCTCTTGATGTTAAAATGTTCTGTGATTTTGTGAGACTGCCATCCAATATGGAGTTTGGGGTATCGCATAATTGTATTGAAAGCTGCGGGCTTACATTGGAAGATCCACTTAACATTTTTCTTTTCTTTTAATCGAAAAAGAGGTTTTATGTCCTCTGTGTCTAAACCAAATTCAGTAAGAAATGCTTCCCCT